CTTAAATTTTATACCAAACAATAGGGGTGTACGTCCGAGTTGGATTGGGTTGAGAGATTTTTTTGACCCAACCCAAAAGTTCGGGTTGGTTGTGTTGGTCCGGGTTGTCGGGTTGAATGTACACCCCTACCAAACAAAGAGATCAAACCTACCAAAAATTCGGGTTGGTTAGGATATTTGAAATGATTTTTCCTAAACAACCCGGTCAAAAGAACCTTACCTCATATAATTCTTCCTTTTTTAAAAAAATATTATTCTTTTTTCCTTCCACGTATATTTGTTCTTTATTGCAACCATTCAAGCCCACCACTAGCAGATATTGTTCGTTTTGACTCGTTACATATTGCCTTCAACCTCACGATTTTAAAACGCTGCTACTACGGAGGGGTTTCTACATTTTTATAAGGAGTGCTTCGTTCTACTCTCCAATACACGTGGGATCTCACAATCTACCCATTTTCGAGGTCTAGCGCCCTTGCTAGCACACCACTTGGTCTCTGGCTCTAATACTATTTGTAATAGCTCAAGCCCATCACTAGCAGATATTGTCCGCTTAGCCCCATTATGTACCGTCGTCAGCCTCATGATTTAAAACGTGCCTACTACGGAGAGGTTTTGATACCCTTTTAAAGAGTGCTTCGTTCCACTTTTCAACCGATGTAGGATCTCGCATTTATCTTCTATTAGAAGTGTTCATATGATTCGAGTTCTTGACCAACCTAAGCCATAAAGATTGGGTTAAGTTAGATTTTTATTTTTTCCAGCTTGGGTTGGATTGAATATTCAATATTTGAACTTTATAAGATTTTAGTTATTAATATAACATGTGTTCATATATATATATATTTTTTTTTTAAAACCCGATAACCAAATCCAACTCAATCTGAAAAATCAAGGGTTGGGTTAGGTTTGTAAACTCTATTCGGGTTGCTCATGTCACTAACCTAACCAACTCGAAATTTCAGATTAGTCCAAAAAAATAATTATACCTGTTAGGAACCACAGACGTCCACAGTGGTATTGATATTGTCCACTTTGAGCATTAGCTCTCATGACTTTGCTTTTAGCTTCCCCAAAAATTCTCGTACCAATGGTTAGGGGTGTACATTCAACCCGTCAACCCAACAACCCAACCCAACCCAACCCAACCCAAACTATAAGGGTTGAGTTGGGTTGGATTAGCATTTCAAGTAGGTTTGATTCATTTTTTCTGAACCCGAACTGAATCGATTCGGTTCAGGTACGTGAGCAAAACCTTCGAGTTGACCTGAGCCAAATAAAAATATATAAAATATATTAAGAATCATTTTGTATTAATGGGTTTGCCAGAATATTCATTCTGTATTGCCAATAAAGATGTATTTCTTACTTATAAACGCATGACCGTTCTCTTAATTAGCCAACAATCATGAACAAGGCTACTCAACTCAACCCGTGTACACTCCTATCTCCTATTACATCTATCTTAAAATTTACACGCTCGTAAAACGAGGAATCTCCACATGTTTAAGGGAAGAATAATGAATTATCGCATTTAATTGAAATAATTTATAATATCTTGTTCATAGCTTCACTCACCCAATGATTTTTTGTATCATCCCCTAAATCTTTCATGGGGCCTCTAAAAGTTATGCAACCCCAAAAAAAGAGGGCTTTTCCCAAAGTCTATATTAAAATTGAGAACCTGCCCTAACTCACATGCTAAAGGCTACTTTATGAACAAAAAAAAAAAAAGAAAAAAAGTCCTCAAAAATCTATTATACTATTTTTTTTTTCCTTTATTTTTCTTCAAGTACAACAAATTGGGATACGAAATGTGAGAGTCCTACAGTGGTTGGGGAGGAGAGGAGAACGAAACACCCTTTATAAGGGTGTGAAAATCTTTCCCTAACAGACGTGTTTTACAATCTTGAGAGGAAATCCGAAAGGGAAAGACCAAAGAGGACAATATCTGCTAGTGGTGGGTCTAGGTCGTTACAAATGGTATCAGAGCCAGACACCGGACAATGTGCTAGCGAGGAGGTTGTTTCCTGAAGGGGGTTAGACATGAGGCGGTGTGCCAGTAAGGATGTTGGGTCCCACATCGATTGGAGAAAGGAACAAGTGTCAGCAGGACGCTGGCCCCAAAGGGGATGGATTGTGAGAGTTCCACATTGGTTGAGGAGGAGAACGGAACACCCTTTATAAGGGAGTGGAAACCTTTCCCTAGCAGACGAGTTTTAAAGCCTTGAGGGGAAGCCCAACAGGGAAATCCCAAAGAGGACAATAACTACAAGCAGTGGATCTGGACCGTTACATAAAAACTTGAGCTCTCTACTAATGAACTATTGTAACGACCCGACTTTTTAATCCTAGATTAGCTAGGATCGCTATCAAAAATATGTTTAGTTTTACCATACGAAAGAATGAGACTTTTAAAGTAAACAAGAGTACTTATTGGAGTTCCAATTGGTTGATTCGGCTCGGTTAACTCCATTTGAATCTCATTCCACAGTTTCGAACTCTATCCAACTAATTTGGATCGTTCCAATATTTTAAGCTAAGTTAGATGATTAATTGATGTCATTAGGTGAATTAAGCCCTTTAATGTATTCAAATCTGATGTCGTGGACCCACATAGATTGAATTGGATTATGAGGAGTGGATTCAAGCTAGTACTAGAATAATTAGTGACTCTGGCCTAAGTCAACCATGTAAGTGGTTCTATGCCTACTGTCTTAGTTAGATGACTTGTATGCTATGTGAATGATGTGTACTCTATGTCACAATCTCACTATTGGGAGCGAACAAAGTCGCTAAATATGTTCATTCAAGTCTGTTAAATTTATGATAAGTCTCTAAAAGAAAAACATGAGACCCAAATTAATGATCCTATGAACTCACGTTAGATGATTTATGATTTAATCCATTTGCATGTCTACAAGTTTGTTATCGTTTATGAGATCTCGAATGAACTGCAATGCTGATAATGACCAACTCTAGACTTAGGAATATGACTACATTGAACTTGAACGTTATGTTGTGTTCTTTGGGTTGAACGTATTTAGTATTGCCTAACTAGATGGCTTACGAGCGATGGATTCATTAACCATACCCCTTATTTTGAGATAGAATTGAGGACTATCCAATGAAGGTTATAACATTACGTGATGAATTAACCAACTAAATGCACGGTAAGGACAAAGAAGCTAGATACCACGCTGAACGAGGGGAAACTCAAGCATAAGAAGGAATTAAAATCACGTCTTTCATATTCCCTACGTAAGGACTTATGGACTCGTCCCAATCGAGAAGGGGGCACGTTGTGCTTTCTCGAGACTTGAGTCACCTTTTTATCCTTGTTGATGCCTTGTAGGGCCTATCAAGGATAGCTAGACAACCTTAGCAGGGAATCTACCTTGATTAGTAGGGATCTATGCATGCATCAAGGGTTGACCAAGATTGATCCAAATAGGGTAGAGCTCGAGATTAAATCATTCAGCAAATTCACTTAAAATTTAAAGTAGCAATCATTGAAATAACATAATTTAAAATAGGGAAAACATCATTGTCTTTACTTGTATTATCCTAACCTAAAGACTCCAACTTATATGCAAAAATTCAACTACTTCGTACTATTCTAATCGGAGCTCATTATTGGAGTCAAAAAAATCAATCACGTATAATCATGATTCAAAATGAGGCCTATCTTTTTGTGGTTCTTCCTTACGTCCAACTTTCTGTTCTGAATAAGATTGGATGCATGGTACTTCTCTACACACAATTCACACACACGTGTGCAAATACCCACTAAGCGGGTTCGTACATGTACCTCTAGACTTGACTACGAGCTATCACAAACTCATGCTACCGAAAACTAAACCAAAAGAAAGGAGCACATATATACTTCTAGAAACCATTTTTCAAACAAAACTTCAAAGGTAAAAATGGAAACATTTATTCAAGTTTAATATAACATTATAAAACTTATCAAGTTTTAGTTGTGGTGATAAAAATCAACTATTTTTCCTAAAAATAACCTCCACATTGGTTGGGGAGGAGAACAAATCACCATTTATAAGGGTGTAGAAACCTTCCCCTAGTAGACGCGTTTTAAAGCCTTGAGGGAAAGTCCAAAAGGGAAAGTCCAAAGAGGACAATATCTGCTAGCGGTGGATCTGGGTCGATACTCAAGGTAAATAAAACAAGGATTCACCTTAATTGATGATACACTTGTTCAACATAAATTCACTGTCAAACTAAATAAGTAATTATATAAATTATTTTTAAAAATCCTCTTGCCTGGCAAACCTAGAGACGCTGCATTCTTGTCTTTTCCATTCTGGTTGAGTTATCTGATCTAAGATCGTGTGTTCTAGTTCAACTACAGGCTTGATCCTTAATTTAATAATTTAGAACTCCCGTTGCCTCTGTAAACTGCCTGTTGGGTACGCTAAGGTTGGGAGTATGATGTGAAGGCCGATGGGAACTAAGGATATCATGCATGTGAGAACCCACGTCGATTGGAAAGGAGAATGAAACATCATTTCTAAGAGTGTGGAAACCTCTCCCTAGAATATGCATTTTAAAACCTTGAGAGAAAGCCCAAAGAGGACAATATCTGCTAGCAGTAAATTTGGACTATTACAAATGGTATCAGAGCTAGACACCAGGTGATGTGCTAGCGAGGAGGCAGAGTCCCGAAGGACGGTGGACAAGAGGCAGTGTGCCAACAGGGAAGCTGAGCCCTGAAAGGGTGGATACGAGGCGGTGTCCCAGCAAGGACACTGGTCCCCAAAGGAAAGTGGATTAGGGGGTCCCACATAGATTAGAGAAGGGAACAAGTGCCAGCGAGGACACTGGACCCCCAAGGGGGGGTTGGATTGTGAGATCCCGCATTGGTTGGGGAGGAGAATGGAACATCCTTTATAAAGGTTTGAAAACTTCTCCCTAGCAGACGCTTTCAAAACCTTGAGAGAAAGTCCAAAAAGGACAAATATCTGCTAGCGGTGAGGTTGGGGTTGGGTAACGATAATATTTAAACAGAATTTCCAGCATCATCCATAGTAGCAAGACCATTTTTAATAATGAACAGACGTACTATAACAACAGAAACACATGGAAGATCAACAGATAATTCTGATTTAAATATGTTAAATATGTACATAAGGGCAGAAGTGTACCATAAAGATCCTAAGATGATTAACATCACATGTTGGTTGCAACTTTTGGTTCCATGTTGCTTCTGTTTTTTTTCCTCGGTTTCGGGGGGTTATCCATGTGGGAGACCTAAAAATTAATCCAAAGTTTAGAAAGAACAAGAGTCGTTTTGGATCAGGATTCAAAATATTCATATTTTGGCAGCTGATAACAAATCTATGAACAGAAGACTTACAATAAAGGATTTCCACTCGAGTCGTTTTTGCGCCTCGGCTGTCGTAGATGGCTGTGACTGATCTCCAACGTGTCGGAAGATATGGACGAGCACAACAGCATCAAGAGCTGCATATTCTAGCTGCTCAAAATTCAACAACACTTACTTTAGTTTGATCTCTTTAGAAGAGAAATTAAAGGAAAAAAAATTAAAATCTACAAGGAAACACAGAGAAAAACCAGTTTGACAGACATCTTCTAATTTTAACCTCTTCTACAAAATTCATGAATATGGAAAAAGAAGAAAAGAAAAGAAACATTTTCCTCGGTTATTACTTCTTAATCCAGAACTTGAAAAAACGTCCATAAATATCCATTCAACCGTGACAGCTTTACTAACAACGTCCAATTATTTTAAATGAAATGCACATTGTGGATTCAAATTTGCTTAACCCCATTTTCACCTTTTGTCGACAATAATAACACAATAGCTAACATTAGAAAATGGAATAATCGGGAATCTCGAGTAACTGGCCAAGCCGCAGTGGTTATTTGAGTAGTGTGATTTTCGTTTCAGTTGGTGTTTAGAAAAGTGTATATTTTGCGTAATGTGTATTGTTTGGGTTTGTGTGTTTCCGAGGGGTGCTGAAATGAGCTTATTACCCTACTGGGTATCATTTTGTGTGGAGTACTTTTTTTTGGAGATGTTGAGTGGTCGTGAAATGGGCTTAGTACCCTATTGGGGCACATTTTGTTGGTGGTACTTTTTGCTGAAATGAGCTTATTACCCTACTGGGTATCATTTTGTGTGGAGTACTTCAACTCGCATCGAATGGTCATATATACACGTAAACAATATTCCATAAAATTCTGTTGTTCTTCTCACTTACCCATCAATCATGTAACAGCTCAAACCTATTGTTAGCAGATATTGTCCTTTTTAGGCTTTCCTTTTCGAGCTTCCCCTCAAGATTTTTAAAACATATCTATTAGGGAGAGGTTTCCACACTCTTATAAACAATGTTCCGTTCTCCTCCCTAACCGATGTAGGATCTCACAATCCAAGCCCAAAGAAGACATTATCTACTAGCGGTGGGCTTGGGTTGTTACAAATGGTATCAGAGCCAAACACCAGACGATGTGCCTGCAAAGAGGCTGAGCCTTGAAGGGGGTTAGACACGAGGCAGTGTGCCAGCAAGGACGCTAGCCTTGAAGGGGGTGGATTGGGGGGTCCCACATTGATTGCAGAAGGAAATGAGTGCCAGCGAGGACGCTAGCCCCAAAGGGGGGTGGATTTTGAGATCTCACCTCGGTTGGGGAGGAAAAAAAAACATTTTTTTTTATAAGAGTGTGAAAACCTCTCTCTAGTAGACGCGTTTTAAAAACCTTGAAGGAAAGTCCAAAAAGGATAATATCTACTATTAGTGGTGCTTGGCGAAACAAATATGAGATGTCAGGAAAGAAAAGAAATTGACCTGATTCACTGTCAAGGGCCGCTGCTCCCAGTCACTATTTCTTCTCGTCTTGTTCAATCCAGCTCCCAATACTTTCTAAAACAATTACCACATGAGAGAAAACATACAGTAATTTCAAAAGATTTTTATTATTTTCTTTTACGGAAAAAATCTAAAAAAACAAATAAAGCTATGCTTGATAAAGGAGTTGTAACCGTATAGGTTATAGTAAACAAATTAGGTACCATATCAAATTCAAGGAAGAAGAGACTTCCGTATAACTGTAGTTATGTTACCTTCGCAAGCCCAGATAGACCTCCAGTGTGGTCCTTAAATACATTTTGAATGTCCAGTAACATATCATAATGTTTGAAACACTCTAATGATCCATATGAATGGGACAGTTGCTTTATGTCGCATTGAAAATTGTAACCTACAAAAGCAAGAAAGCATTTAGTCAAAATTAGCCATCCGAGAAAAAAGGGGAGTTGGTACATGAAAATAGAGATGCAGTGGTTAACACAGGCACTTTTTAAGACATCAAGGATGTTAGGAATCACGACTCTTCCCAATGGTATGATATTGTCCACTTTGAGCATAAGCTCTCATGGCTTTGCTTTGGGCTTCCTCAAAATGCCTCATACCAATGGAGATAGTATTCCTCACTTATAAACCCATGATCTTCCACTAAATTAACCAACGTGGGACTCACTCCCAATAATACTCAACAATCCTCCTCTCGAACAAAGTACACTATAAGCCTCCCCTAAGGCTTATGGAGCTCTCGAATAGCCTCCCCTTAATTGAGGCTCGACTCCTTTCTCTGGAGCCCTCGAACAAAGTACACCCTTTGTTTGACACTTTAATCACTTTTGACTACACCTTCAAGGCTCACAATTCTTTGTTCGATATTTGAGGATTCTATTGACATGGTTAAGTTTAGGGCATGCCTCTGATATCATGTTAGGAATCACGACTCTCCACAATGGTATGATATTGTCCACTTTGAGCATAAGCTCTCATGGCTTTGCTTTGAGCTTCCCCAAAAGGCCTCATACCAATGGAGATAGTATTCCTCCCTTATAAACCCATGATCTTCCACTAAATTAACCAATGTGGGACTCACTCCCAATAATCCTCAACAAAGGAGTGTATTCTATCATGAACATACAGACTATGAGGCATGTTTGGAATAATTAACTTCATATTCACATTAAAAGAATCAAATAATTTAAGAACACATCCAATCGATATATTCACATTAAAAGAATCAAATAGTTTAAGGCTTCAAGTGATTTCAGGAAGTTGAACATTGACATATCACTAACCAAGCTTCAAAATACTAGAAGACTGCAAGATGCGAGTCAGGCAATTGTCTAGAATGTCGGGGACATCATTATATAACTTGATCAAGTCAAAGATGAAAGCCTTTTCCTCGGAAGCAATTTGCATAATAGATACCTGAACATAAATGTGATGAAACAAAAGGGAAACGTTCACACACACAAAAATAATAATCAAGAGAGGTATATGCATAAAGTCGGTTCTCTCAAAAACTAAAACGATATAAATATTTTAAGGAAGTCAATAGCTGTAGTTTGAATGTCAGCAACTACGACCAACAAATTACTCTGCATTCTGCAGATTAAAGAGTACCAACAAAAATCCTCAATCCAAACACCTTTTCTTTTCTTTTCTTTTCTTTCTTTCTTTATTTATTTATTTATTATTGTTATTATTATTATTATTATTATTATTTTGGTAAGAAGAAATAGTCCCAAGCCAAGAAAGTTATAAAAAAACTCACTTAGATGGTAAGATTTGAAAGGGCGTAGATTTTATACCATGAAAGGGCTACAAAAATAACATGATCCATAAAAGTTTTCTTTGTCCTTAAAAAGCCTATTATTCCTTTCATTCCAAAGGAGAAAAATAACTGGCGCACTGCTTCACTGTTCTTATAAGATTCTTAAAGGAAAAAAAAAAAGAAAGAAGAGAGATACAACAACCAGTACTGCAGATACAGGGTATGAGAAAGTGATTGGAGAAGAAATGTAATTGCAGAGAGTAGAAAGAATTTTATCAATGATTACTTTGTTCGGTTTCCTGCCCTTTATATAGTTAGGTTTCCACTCACAATCAATACCAATAACTTTACATTCCTCAATATGGCATACTGCATTATGTAAAGCATCAGCTTTATCGACCCACAATATATCTCCAGTAATTAGTTGATTAAGATTCAGATAATGGTTCTGTCCATAAGCTCCCTCGCGTTCTACAGAAAACCAATAGGAACGTTAGAATAACCAATATGAATCAGAACAGGTAAATTTTGGTGCAATATATATAAAATTTAACTAAAATGATTCAAAGCTCCATATGGGTAATGCCGAAGAGCAGTTAACCCAGATAATGTACAGGAACAGTCTTAAATGTGGAAACCATCCAAGGTTACCCAATGATAATTTACAGTTTAATGGATGGTTACTCAAATATTTCACAAGATTAGTCAAGCCGCAAAAAGATAACGTTGCAGGAATTTAGATGGTTGAGATGAATGCTATTAGAAAAGAAATGATAATATTATTAAGATGTTTAAGGTACATTTGTAATTAGAGAGGGAAATTGTTCTTGTGATTCGTTATAAATAGAGTGCATGAGAAAGGATAAGGGCATGCATTGATTTAGCTCTGTAGTTAAGCCTACAATATATTGAATATGAGATATTGATTTTGACAAAGCTGGAGAAAACGTTATAAATAGAGTGCATGAGAAATGAGAAAGCTAAGCCTACAAGATAGCTCTGTAGTTTCCCACTTCAGGCTAATAATCGAATATGAGATATTGATTTTGACAAAGCTGGAGAAAACGGCCAGACATACACAATGAAACATCTAAGAGGTCAAGAGAATACGGTAAATATGGTATACCTTTGATATTCAAAAAACCTGTAAGGGAGTACCTATTGCAAAGTTCATCAACCTTTTCAAAATAACCAGCCTCCAACGCCAAGTAAACCTTAAAACACATAAAGCTTAGGTAAGAATACGAAGACATTAAGCTTTAAGAACCATTTGTTATAAACCCAAAACTCACATTCAACAGTTAAAACATTTTCCTCATAACAAAGTATACATATATATTCCTTACAAATGTTCCAAAGATGAGTAACGAATCCAAGGGCTACCCACCAGATATTCTAGAAATTGTCTATTGCTCTTTGTTTTTGCCTCAGCAACATCCCAGCATCCTTTTTCAGCTAAATTCTTCAAGGAGCTAGGGTAGAATTATAAGTATTCATATACAATTTTCAGCCAATGGAGACATAGGCCAATACCAAAAGCACAAGAAATTTGAGTTCAAAGAAAAAAAAAACGCAGCATATGGATCATCAAAGTACCTCTCTTTACACTTCTGATAGACATCAGGGAATTCCGTCTGAAGACCATTTGTCTTTACAATGCCATATGCACTTTTTACCTTGTTTCTATTCATCAACTCTTGGACAAGCAGACATAACATTGGTCTTCCCATGAATGTCGCCCATTTCTCAGCAGCTTTGAATTCATTGTTCTGCAACATGCTATAGAGAAGAGACTGCCCAGATTGGCGAATGGAGAAATGCTCCAATACATCAACTGCTGTCGTGTAAGACTGAGTTTCTACTAACTGAGAAACATATTGCTCGACGAAGTCTTTAGCTGAGCTAGAGCAACACCCATTTCTTGCCTTCGAGTCAAACCGAACTTTCTCGATGTTGGTCAATTGAATGTCAAATACCTGTAAAATCTTCACAGCTATCCTCTCATCATGCTTAATGAATCCTCCAACAATATCCACAAATAGCTGAGCAGCTAGGTTCTTTGCCTTGTCAAGGTCTGTTAGGGTTGTCACTACTTTCAAAAAACGTTGAAAAGCTGATGTAATCAAGTGACTGAATCCTTCACTATATAGCCCAAAAATAGGCAAGACATATAGGCAATGTATAACAAATGTAGCTGGTCCAGGTTGGGGACCATTATGAAGAACAAGATGAACTTGTTGCTGAAGAGATCGAAACTTCTTAGTTGCTTTCAATGTGCCTACATTTGCACTCGGTGACATTAAAAATGAAGAATATACATAAATAGAATGAGATAAACCAAAATGCCTCCTAAACAGATATGACATAAAAATGCAAACTTGATGAGCTGTATACATTGAAACATCTAACTTTGTGATTGGCAAAGGTTCAATATAAGAAACGGAATATCGGGTGAAATAGTTACACAAAACAATTTAAAAGCAGGAAAGTAAGTATTGGCCACCATTACTTCAAAGTGAACCTCGATATTATCACCACTAACTTGAATACTTGTTGAGCACAAAGAAGAAAGCTATTTTTAGACAGTGAAGAGCAAGGTTAGACATATTATATTTTCACATATGAACCAGTTGGAGAACTTTTCTTCCTATTTTTTACATCCATCAAATCTTGTTTCCTCTAGTATAAAAAACCACATGTGAATAAAAACAGCCAAAGCAAAACAAAAATTTTCATTTCATGTATGCACTGATAAAAATGTTCAAATAATATACACAAACACACACATGCCCAAATAAAAAGTACAGAAAAACAACATAACTTCTACATCCATGATACATCATAAGAAACAGAGGAGACATACCACGAATATAGCATTCCTTTAGGAGGTATAAGAATACAACAGGGGATATATAAGATAGATCAGAAAGAGAATGCACAGCAATTTTCCACGCAAAATGAGTTTGATCTATAGGGTCACGTGGTTCAGCAACATTTTGATCGAGCCCCATGCCAATGAGAAAATAATGGTCCTAAACAATTAAAAAAAAAAAAAAAAAAACTTGAATATAGGATAAAGATGACAATGATTAAATAATAATAATAATAATAATATATGCACTGGCTCCACTAAAACAACACTACTCTTGATCAAAGGCAACATAAATGATTTGTGCAATTTAAAGAGCCGATGTTAAAATGCTACAACATAATCTCGGGAAACTATAGCCAACATTGTCACTTCAATATTTTTAAAAACAAAAAGAGAGTTAGAGAAATAAAAGTCCTAGACGGTTCAGACTAAAATTATTTAAAATTGAAAATTTTTAGCAAGGCCTATGATAAAGGGACTTTTAAGCAAAAATCATGAGCGAAATTTGGAAATCAAATAGGAACGATGATTCATGATACAGATAGTCTCAGTTCTTGTCTTCTAGAAATATCAAAACCGTGAGACTGGTAAGAAAATGGATCTACTTATTTTACTAATCGAGCAATGGAACCATAAACCATTGCATATAGGATTCAATTTTTGGATTGGTATTAGTTCACAATTATCAGGAATTATGCCTAGAGTAACCCTACTATACCAACAACTATCTAACTCATATAGAAAAATTACAAATATGCCAAAATAAGTTAATAGCATATCTTGTCAAGCATCCAACTGGACTATCATCGATAATGAAATAGCTAATTATACTCAATACATTCTCCTTGGTTATAAATCTAACTGCAACAACATAAAAGCACTTCCTCTTTCCCTAATTTCTTCATGAACCTACTAGATATATGTCACATATAAAGCTCCAACATCCAACTAACCGGGAAGAAGATTACTTCTTGTTTGCTGATACAAAGCAAAGTTGCAGCAATAAAAACAGGAAAAGCACATAGCAGCTTCAAAAAAACTCAAGAACAGAAAAGTAATTGAAGGGGTATTCAAATATATCTTCTAAACATTGATCTTAAAATCACTTTGCAAATTGTCTGGTTTCATTTAATTTAAAAAAAGATCTCCCAGTATTTTGTTTCGTTGTACTTCTAGTATGAAATAATTTTAAAACATAAGATATTTAAATCAAGATATACGAAAAAAGCAATTGATAACTATGTGCAAACAATTAACTCAGAAGGCAGCCATATGAACACACGTGAAAGTAACAAAATACCATCTCTTATCTCAACTCTTATTTCTTCTTTTGCTACTGTCTTCAAGGTGAAAGATTGCAGCGAAAGGCATGGAAATTAAGGCAGTGTGTGCCTCAGCATCTTCTAAGACAATCAACTTCAAATAGGTGCTTGCCTCTTATTGACAGGAATGCTATTAGGAATGTTAGTAATTGGCTAAGGAGTTTGCTAGAAGCTTTTCTGTTATAAATAGAGTGGTTCAGAAGAGTGGAGGGTAGGCATTTGGTAAGTGAATTAGGGCTTGAGTGGTATCTCAAGAAGGGAGAGTACAAATACCTCAAATGACTTGATTTACCTTCTAAGTTCTTTATCTTTTATATTGCATTACATTTTGGTTCTATTGGATTGTATCACCCACCATTTTATTTCCATTTTGTACATTTCATGAGATAGTGACCACAGCCATGTTAACTCATAGCATGTAAACGAAAAACCTTTATTGTATGGGCTTCAAACACAACCAATAAGGAAGATAAATGAAAGAAGAAACCGTCATCTAGAGACCAAAAAATAATTGTCCCCACCATTTCTTATAAAGGGGAGATCATATCTTAAGACATTTGATTATTACTACTATTATTATTATTTAATAAGAGAGAGATTCATCCAAAGCGCCGAAGCCAAACCAAACAACCTAGGGGACAAAGGAATGAGGCATCCCTTTTCCCAACAGAAGAGTTACAAAAAGACTTTCCAATCTAAAATGATGAGGTCTGTGAAGTAATTACAAAGAAGCCTATGCTGAACACTCCAAGTATAGACAGTATGTTGTACGAAATCACAAAAGAAAGAAAAACTAGACTTCTTATCTGATAAAATTCTAGAGTCCCTTCCCTTTCCAAAGGAGCCAAGGAATTATATGATTATCCTCAAGCCAAAACTCCCAAATAATCACAACTATTTCAATCTATAATTTCTTAATTTTGCCTTGGAGGCCAAAGATACTTCCTATAACCATAAAATCCCCCTTCATGTGGATGATTGTACCAAGTAAAGTTGAAAGCCTCACAATATCACAAATATTCATCAAAAGGATGCAGTGCAGCACCAGATCGTCCACTATAATAAAACAGTAGAAAGGGTAGCTGGGATGAGGGTAAGTCTTCCCCTTCCTCCATTTTCTATGTTTTTCCCTTACTTTTCTCCAGCATGTGATTCCAGAAATCAGTGAGTGAGGGTTGCCTCCAAGGGGAAGCACTAGGTAGTTGACAGACCATTTAAAGTAAGAATATGATAGAGCTCGGATTATATGTACTTACTAATTTGGCAAAGCCAAGAGAGTTTTAAGAACTCCCTCCTCTTCAAAATGCTCAACAAGAGCTACAAAAAGCAAAATGCCAAAACATGAAGATACCAGCTTCCCTCCTCACTGACCCATAAAAGGGCTTTTCTCCAAACTAACAGAACCCCTATGGGCCCACACAATCCCCCGCACTCACACCTACGGATAACAACTCTCATTCTTCACAAATTACATCATTTTGGCCATCCTATTTCTCTCATATTTCTCCGAGTGTAGACCTTAGTAATTTGGGGTCTATCAGAACAAGAAAGGATGTAAGCAAAAGATATTACTTCTTCCCATATAACATCAACACTTGGCAATATGGAGAAATGAATTTCTCAATGTTTGTTAAGTCGCCCAAGCAAAATATGTATCTTCAGCAAGTTGCAAATGTGTAATCTCTCCTCTATTAGCCAAAAGCCTTCATGAAGCAAGTAGCTAGAGATATTGGAAAGATGGAGAAATGCGAAAGGGGAATGGAGCCCTCTTGCCGTCCATAACAAATAGTTAAACCAAACCAACTTCTAAAGTCCCTCTAAAGATCTTGTTGTTCCTCCACAGCCAAATTCACGAAGTAGCCAAAATACAAGCTTGCTACAGAATTCTTTCCTAAGTAACATTTAATCTCTTTTTCTGCTTCCATTGATTATAAGCACTCGTGAATGTACAGTGGCATCAGAGTTCAGATCTTGATAAGTTTCAACATTTCCTTATTTGTTTTTATAATTTTCTACCTTTTCATCTTCTGCATCTATTTTTATGAACCCAATAGTTTTAATAAATAATCCGTTTAATGATTACATCCTAAAAGAAGAACATTATTTTAAAAAAGAGCTTTATCCTTAGAAAATTTGTTTAAAAACTATAATCGTCAGCCTATACAAAGCCTTAGTCCAATAGGGCTTTGCTCTGACTATGCCTCTTGCCTTCAGGAACCTTCTACACTTGTCTGTTATGTGCCCCTAAAACCTGTTGTCTCTCTTAATTTTTCCTTTTTAAGAATTACTGTCAAACAAGCAATCAAGATGAAATTTTTTATACAAAAAAGATATCGATAATTTAAATTTTTAAGACCTAACTCTATTTTTATACATAAATCCTAAACAGCCTACAAGCATAAATAGAGTTCCAGATGAGTTTTCTATTCACAGAAGAACAGTGAACTTTTATTTATATTTTTCTTTATCAATCACTTTAACTATAAGATCTATTCCCTACTTTTACCCCTCAAGTCAAATCAAAAGACCCCAGTTGACTTCACAGACAGAAATATATATGAAAAAGAACCAAACTATTTACACTAAAAAAAGCTAAAATGTAATAAGCTGACAAGAAACGACATTCTAAGAATAACACAACACACCATACATACTCATGGTCAATACTCAGAAATAAGCAAAGAACAGAAGAGAAATTGCAATATAGAGAACAAAATTAGTTTTCAAGATCAGTCGTTAAAGAGAAATATGTAAGAGCTCCCAAAAAATTGAACAAAATCCGAAGCAAACAGAAGCAATCCCGAAACATTCAAGCGAGGTCAACAATAACAGTCGAAAATCAACCTTAAACGATCATATTGCCATAGTTTCCGAAATGCGGTGGGAAGAAAAATGAGTAGACCACCTCAAACTCGAAGAACTTCGAATTTCGTCCCGGATTTTCCTTCTCCTCGTCAAATTTCTCAGCGAAAAAACTCGAAGAAGCAAATCAACAGAACGAGGAAAGAATTTATCAAGCAAGAACGAATCCAATCCGTGTTGTTGTGAGGAAGAAAAATTCTTCTAACGAGTTCGTACGCTGCGACTGCATCAAGAACACGGATGCAAATTTATAATATATTTATACATCTCTATCGATGTTCATCAAATTTAGAGATGGAAGAAGAGAAACGGATTATTAAAAGTTATTAAAAAATTAATAGGATTATGAATTTGATCAAATCCACGTTTCACCCTCGTTATTGGGCCGACCGGCCCGACATGAAATAAAGGCCCAGCCCAAACTCTTTGGGTCGGGTTTGAGTCTTGAACCGACCCATTAGATTAGCTAATTACATGGTTAAGAGTGTTAATAAATAGGGGTTATACAGGGGCCTGCATCATCATCGTTGGCACACTGCCCCCATGTCTAGCTCTAATACCATTTATAACAATTCAAGCTCACTGCGAACAGATGTTGTCTGTTTGGCCCATTACGTATCATCGTCAGCCTCACAGTTTTAAAACGCGTCTGCTATGGAGAAGTTCCCACACCCATCTAAGGAATTTTTGTTCCCCTCTCCAGCCGATGTGGTTCTCACAATCCCACCCTCTTAGAGGCTTACGTCATCACTAGCACACCGCCCCGTGTGTAGCTCTGATACCATTTATAACAACCCAAGCTCACTGCTAATAGATATTGTCTGTTTTGGCCCATTACGTATCATCGTCAGCCTCACAGTTTTCAAACGTGTTTGCTATGGAGAAGTTTTTGCACCCTTATAACAAATTTTCGTTCCTCTCTCCAACCGGTGTGGGATCTTACAATACACCCCCTTAGAAGCCTATGTCATCGCTGGCACACCGCCTGCTGTCTAGCTCTGATACCATTTATAACAACCCAAACCCACTACTAACAGATATTGTCTGTTTTGGCCCATTACATATCGTCGTCAGTCTCATAGGTTTAAAACGCGTCTACTATGGAGAAGTTCTTACACCCTTATAACGAATTTTCATCGCCCTCTCTAAACGGTGTGGGATCTCACAATCCATCCCCTTAGGAGCCTACGTCATCGCTGGCACACCACCCAATGTCTAGCTCTAATACCATTTATAACAACTCAAGCCCACTGCTAACAGATATTGTTTGTTTTGGTCCATTACGTATCATTATCAGCCTCATAGTTTTAAAACGCGTATGCTATGGAGAAGTTCTCACACCCATCTAAGGATTTTTCGTTCTCCTCTCCAACCAGTGTGGATCTCACAATCTACCCCCTTAGAGGCCTACGTCATCGCTGACACACCGCCCAAGTCTAGCTCTGATACCATTTATAGCAACCCAAGCCCACTGCTAACAAATATTGTCTGTTTTGGCTCATTACGTATCGTCATCAACCTCACAGTTTTGAAACGCGTCTACTATGGAGAAGCTTTCACACCCTTATAACGAATTTTCGTTACCCTCTCCAACCGTGTGTGAGATCTCACAATCCACCCCTTTAGAGCCCTACGTCATCGTTGCACACCTCCCGGTGTCTAGCTTTGATACCATTTATAACAACCCAAGCTCACTGCTAACAAATATTGTCTGTTTTTGCCCATTATGTATCGTCATCAACCTCATAATTCAAAAACGTGATACTAGAGAGAAATTTCCACACCCTTATTAAGAACGTTCCGTTCCGTTCTTCAATCGATGCGAAATCTCACCTAACCTAACTCAACCTTATAGTTCGAGATTGAATAATCCGAATCGGCCATTGAGTCGTATGAAACACCTCTAACCATAAAGAGAATCAAATATTAATACCTCCACATATTAGAATATAAATGAGGTTCAAAAGCATGGTCAAATCAAACATAAATTTTATATAATTATTTCCTTTTCAAATCCTTAAATATAATAATAATCAAAACATTATTTAATATCTATTTTATATAATTATTTCCTTTTCATTTCCTTAAATTTAATATCTATTTTAAAATAATCAATACAAGGTGTGCCCATGGTTTGATGGTATTGATCCATCTCTTTCAAAAAGGCATAAAATAAAAATTATTTTATTTTATTTATTTATTATAATTATAATAATAATAAAAAAATAGCAAGTTTTCATTTTTAAGATATCTTTTAAATAAAATTTAAATGTTTTTAAATTTTTTAAAAATTTTAAAAACCTCTTAAATTTTTTTTTACTCATAAATTTTCAAAAATAACATTAAAAAGTTCAATACTTTCCATTAATAGGAACGAAAATAACTTTTTTTTAATTTCTTTTTTTTTATATAAGATTTAAGGATATTAATAGTATGACACAATATCTACCACTAAATAATGTGAATAGATCTAAAAATATTATTACCGAAAGAAACAAAATGAAAAATAAAATTGGGATCGAACATTCAATTTTCAATATTTTTAAATATGATACAAACTACCAACTAATATGTACCAGTAATAAAAATATAAAAATAAAATAAAATATACTACTAATCAAATATCTGAGGTGTATGTTAGGTTATAGAGACTGCCGCTTATTTATAGCTGAGTCAACCTGATATAAACCACGACCAAGGAATTTCCATACCTCAAGGTCTAATTACAAGGACGAGAGCCAAGAAGCTACAACAAACTTTATACAGTTATATTCAAGCTATGGTGAGCTCATCAAAGAAAATTCTAGAAGACGCTAGAGACTTACCTTATCTGTTGTGCAAAGTTGAAGTTCAAGAAAGAGATGAATTAAATGCACTTTAAGTTGCATTTAATGAACTCCGCTGAATTTATCAAATAGTCCAAGGATGACTAATAAGCACATTTTATTATTTGCATTATTTAATTATAGTTTAACCATTTGTTTGTCATATTTAAACTAGTTTTAAATATAGGAGTTAAGGTTATATTGTAACCCACATTACTATATTCCACCATTAACTAGCCATTTAAATATGGAGGTTATGGGTATTTCTCATTTACTAGCACATTTAATTTGGGAGTTATGTATGACATAGGTTAAGGTTGTAAAGGCTATATAAAGCCATGTATGTTGTATTTGTAAGACAGACTTGGAAAATATAGTAAAACAAGCATTTGTGCTCTTTTTTAGCCAATGGCTAAGTTTCTTTGCAATTGTATGTAGTTTAGGTTGCATGTAGAATCATTCAAGCTCGACATGATCAATCTTGCTTGTGGAGTAATTCGAATCTCAATCAAGTGTTCTTGCATTGAGATATTTGATCAACAAGAATCATTCAAGCTAGACATGATCGATCTTGCTTGTGGAGTGATTCGAATCTCAAACAATGTTCTTGTCTTGAGATATTCGATCAACAAGGTAATCCGAATCTTACTCCCCTTGTAGTGATTCCTTATCTTATACATAGTAAAAGTATATTTAGTAACATATATAAAGTAAATTGTTAAATAGCTATATCGGGTAAAACTATGTATGGTAAATAATTATATATGGTAGATAGTTATATTTTAAATATAGTAAACTAAACCATATATATATATACCTCGGGCAGAGCTTTCTGTATTCTCTCTCATTATAAATACTTGAAGTCATCGATATAAATCCTTTAGCAAGAGTTCTCGTTGCATTTTCTCTCTTTGTGTTCATCGAGTGGGTTGTTGTGCGATCGTAACAGTATATTCTATAATTGATATATTCTCTGAATATTAACTAATTATGAATATCAGAACTAACTTTGGAGTTTTTTTAAAATTTTTAAAAAATAAAAAAAAATTAATAAAACTTTTTAAAATTAAAAATATGGTATTAATTGTTTACGTTCAAATTTTTTTAAAAATAAATTAAAATATTTTTATTAATTAAAAAAAAACGACCACTCAATTGGAGGAGAAGTGAAGAATTTTCCATATACGAG